AGGGTAACATCAAAGACAAGGCACCATCTGCTAGAGCAATACCTGCATTTCAGGCATTGGCAGACTGGAAAAGGATTAAATGATGCAAATTAAAAGGGTTGTGCGCAAAGGTGCTGCTTTGCAGCGCACGCTTTCCACAGTAACGGCCATCCAGATCTAGGGCAGTAACCTGCCAGCACAAAATCCACAGGGAAAGGAAAGCGCACAGCTGAAAATACATAGGTAAGGCATGCAAAAGGGTGAAGGCAATACATTTGAATTTTTATGTTATTTAGGTCGATAAAGACTGCTAAACAGGTCATCAGATTTCTGCGTTGGCCTGACACGCTCTCTTTGGCTCTACGTTCATATTCATTGGAGTTATCCCAAGGAAAAACCATAGTCTAAGGGAATAAAGCCTTCAAGGAGATCCTTTATTGAGAATACTTCATTAACCCAATGCAGGTGTTATATTCTGAGGTTATGACTTAAAACTATTTCAGGAGGAATCTCTAGAGGGTGTAACAAGAAACCCAGACATGACTCAATACAGCTCAAACTGTCACACCTTTAAATATTTAATTTGCATTACAGCTATTAACATTTCATATAGAAAGAGCATAACCGTTTGACAAAAACAAAACTAAAATTTGGGGGTTAGTGTTTTGGGTTTTTTTTTTTTTTAATTATAGGTGATTTTGCTCAAGTCTTTAAGCCAACAGCTTCAAGCACTGGAGCTGCAGCCCCCACATCGCTCAGCTCAAGGGTGAGGTGCATTATTGAGGACTCCAACTATCAGGAGTCTCAAATCAAAGAACTGTCTTGAATCAATGTGAGACACAGGTGAATTTAATAAAGAAACCTGTAAAGGTACACTTATTTCCAGTGGAAATCAGAAAACTGTGCAATAATCTGTCTAGTAAGAAACATCAGATCAGTGCCTATATTCCCCTGATTTTCCAGAAAGTGCAAAAACCACATAACAACTAGAGAGTACTTACTTTTTTAGCTCCTATGATAGCATTAAGAAAAAAGATAAAGTTAGAGAAAGCTTCCAGTTCTAGAGATGCAGCAGCTAGTCAGCAAGGACACAGAATGACAACAGCCAAGTGTATTACCATACAGTTAACTCCCCCCATACATAATACATTTAATTAAACTTACAGCTGGTTAACTCTCCAGAACTACATTACCTTCATCAACCGACACCACATACACTCAGTTACTTTGCATTTTAAATAACAAGCCAAAAAATATACATATCCAAAAGGATCTACCCATCACGACAGGGAATCAGCCAGAGAGGCTCCCAACCTGCCAGACCAATACGATCAGCTGGTGCAAAAGGGAAGCTCTGGTCCCTCAGGTTCAGGTCACTAAACACCAATATAGCAAATACTTGGAAGAATTCTGAAAATGTAACAATTGTAACATCAGATGATGAATTTACACAATTGTAGCTATGTCTACCAGAAGTTAGCTATCAGTACAACATTCTATGAATGAGACAGAAATAAAACGTTCGCCCCAATACTCAGCCGACTCATTTTTCAGGAAAAGCATCAATACAACATGTGAACATCTGCGGTAGAGTTTAAGACTTTAAGAGCCATACCTCTGAGGCTACACTTACGAAGCCTGACGAGACACAGCTTCTTATGTCACCAATTCAACATTCCATGTAAAAAAAGGGTATTTCTGCAAGGAAGCAACACAAACCCCCAAGCCAAAGTGACCACAAGTATTTCCCACCAAACCTGGCTCAAAGGAATTCAAGTTCTGTTTTTTTTAATGAAGATTATTACCAGGGAAAATCTTCATAAAGGGAATTTACCACAACAAGCAGCAATGCCATTTTTCCAAAATCAAGTCCAAGATACTTGCAGCACCTATTTGTTTCCACGAGGGGCCAAACCTTAGGTTCGGTTATGATAAAGATTAGATTTTCAATGAAGTTTACAAACACAAGCAAAAATTGAAATAAAAAAAAGTCATTTCTACCCTGTGTTCCTAAGTTTTCCCAGAGGAACTTGGGAAAAGGCATATAAAAGGATTTTCATTACACAAACCGTCACCTGAGCTAGTGCAGACAGCCTGATGAGACATGAGCTGCAGACCATTAACACCAGACCAGAGCACTACCAGTTCTCCCAGCATACAAATTTACTCCAGCCAAGACACGAGCTCATGATCCAGCTTCAGCCAAGTCTGCCAAAGCACAGTACCAAGAGTGAAGGGAGGATACCTGATCTGACGAAGTCCGGAAGGACAAATTCACCTCTTCAGAGGTTTGGGGAGAAATTTAAACTGACTTGGACTTTTTAAGAGCCTGCACCGGACGCCACGCTGCTCGCAGCCTGGTCTGAGGCAGCTAAGATTTACCTCCACACCAAACCACAGCCTGCACGGTTGTTCCAATGTTTTCCACCTGGTGTTGCTTCACCTCCTCAAACAGAGAGTTTTACAATTAAAAGAACATGCTATGGTTTTATGAACACTGTCCGCTAGCAAAAATTAGAGCACAGAAACTAGAGCTGAATTAGAAACCCATCAGTCTGCACACACTCAGAACCAAGCTGGCAGCTCAGGTCTCTCGCTCAAACCACTCCTGAAACCACATTCATCTGCTGCCTAGTAACATCTTTCAGAAGTGAAGCAGTTTTTCATTTAACTAGCATTTTTTTTAGCACGAAGATAAATTAATACTTTGAGACAGAGGCAGCAAACTTTGTGAAAAGTGTTTAAGAAACACAAATCTGTGAGATGAGTAGAAAAATGTAAGAAGGGCTCTTACTGCCCGCACCAGAGACCGGCTCCTGCGTACCCAGGACAACTTTGCTTTTCCAGTGACAGTGCAGACAACCTGTCAGGTGTTTTACAAAGCATAAAGCCACAGGCAAATGCTATTATTAATATTTATCAATGCAAATAATCAAATACTCCCAAGTAACAAAAAAAAAAAATCACAGGTCAATGTTTAGGCCTCCCATGGACCATTAAAAAGGGCTTACTAAAACCTGAAAGAAGATTTTCTTAATCATAGCTACTGCTTCAGAGCTTTGGGCTTGGTGTTGTCTTGTCACCGCTTCCTGGGTATTTCAAGCCAGAACAAATGTGTGCTGTGCTTCCAGCGCTGCAGGGAAATGCATAAAGTTAAAAATAGGCAATGAAAAGCTCTCTATTGTTGTTCTGTAAATCCAAAATAAGCTTTGGACTTCAGCTATTTGGCTGCATTATCCCCTTAAGTCTAGCTACTTTTTAAAAAGTCAGTAAAACAAAAGCATACAATAAATTACCCCAAGGCTGAGGCCAAAAAAAGAAAGTTAAGTCAACTCCTTTTATCAGTTTAATGAAAGCTGCTCTTTCTCTTCTGTCCATGAGAAAGTTACATTTCTCCTGACTTGAGAGGCCTATAAAATAAATGTGGGGTTTTTTGGGGGGAAGTCAGGTTATAAATGAGTTTCTCACAGCCTCCCAGAGACCTAAATTCCATCAGGCCCCACACAATTTCTTGCTCTGGAACTGAACCGTGATTTTCATTTCAGCTGTGTGCCAGGCTGACCTGTCAGCTCCCAACAAGGCACAGCAAGTCAGGCAGCACCACAGTTTGAAATTAGCTCTCCCAGAAATAATTTCACAGTTTGATGTGGCTTAAAATATTTCCGATAGTCTTGAAAAAGTATCTTTAGACAAGCAAGAGCAGCAAATCTCATCCGTCACTGATTGCTGGAGGGACATGACAGCTGCTTTCTGCAAACCATAACCAAGAGGGCAGGATTACAGTCACAATTTAACTCCCTTCTTCAGAGAAGGCATCAAAACATGGGCATCAGGTGGCACCGGGGGGGACACGGGATGACAGAGACGCAGGGCAGCTTGCTGTGGTTTGACTCCAAAAGCACCCCATGGATGCAGCCCTAAAAGTTAGGCAGGAAAGTCCTGATTTCTGCAGGTCCAAGCCAACACCGCTTGCGCTTCCCCCAGCCCAGCACTGATGGGTTCTCACTACAGGAGATTCTGTCCCAATCCTCCATCTGCATATTTGCTTACGTGCCCTGGCACAGCCGATTTTGACCAGGCCAACACGGTTATATATTTAGTGCTCCTGTCCTATCGCATGTCACATCAGCCACTCCACCAGAAGCTCCTGAACACTCACCCCAGCAGCAGCAAGAAAAATAAATGCCAGAAAACCCAGAAAGGACCCATTTGGTGTCAGAGACAGAGCAGAGAGAAGAGCAAGAAGGTCCAACAGGCACCAGTCTGTTCCTTTCTACAGCCTCAGGCTGGCACCTGGTCTATGCCACACTCAAAACATCTGCACCGCCGACGCCTTCCTAGTGAAATGCTTCTCCTCTTCCCAAAACTGCTACTGCTGCAGTCCTGCACAAAAGCGAGAGCCATTTCAGCCAGGCATTTGGGCCCCATTTAGACACAGCTGCCTCATACCTACCTGCTCAACAGCAAAGGAAAAGCATCAACCCTGCCCCGCCTCCCACTTTTTTCTTTTTGGTGATTCAGAGTTAAAAGAACTGAGACTGGTTTCACACCAGAGGGTCTGATGGCCTCTTGCAGCTGAAGAGAGCAAATCCACCCCCTCCTCAACACTAGCGCTGGCACTGAGTCAATACAGGCAGCTAAAGCAAAAGAAAATATTAACGCTTGTGTAGTATTGCTCTTCTGCTGGTTTAACTCCCTAAATTGGTTCTCCCCCAGCTCACGGTGGCTCAAAGCAACAGGACACAGAGTCAGGAGAGGGACCGGCCTTCATCACCTCTGCTATGATACAAAGCTCCACACTAACCTTTAGCCAGGGAAACGACAACGACTCCCAACCTCGATCACCTAAAAATGCGACTCTTCACTCCAAGCAACAAGGCTGCTGATTGCTAATGAAGAGATAATCAAGGCCATGGGAAATCAGCAGTAGAGAAAGACAGGGAAGAAGTCACCTTCACAAAAAAAAAAAAAGGCAAAGTAGTTGAAAACAAACAGCTTGGGTGAAGAGAAAAAAGGCATACCTGCAAGGTCAGGCAGAAAGAGGGCACACCTAGAAAAGGAGAGGAAAGAATTACAGCTATACAGCCAAGCAAAGTTATTTTCTCCTCCATACCGAGCACGACAGGATTGTGAACATCAGATTACGATCGATTCCAAAACATCGATGATCTAGACATGAAAGGACAAATCCATATTGATTTCAGTGAACACCGGGAGGGGAGGAGGGGAGGAATGTCAGACTGTGGCAGCCTCAGCAACTTCAGCTACCGCTGTAATCCTTCACAACCCCCCAGAGAGCACATTAGCAGCCTCCGCACAACCACTCCTCCCCGGCTCTGCCCATTCCCCAAATATAGTTTTGAAACGGATACCTCCCGAGTGAGCTGTCGTTGAAACAAAAAGGAAAAGCAGAAAAAGCAAGACGGGCTGCCGGAGGCACTGCCAAGGTTACGGAGGGGTTGGGAACACCAGGAGATGGAGAGGTGAGATGAGCAGAGGCCAGGTGAACCTACAGAGCAACGGGGAGGCCCCTGACATTACAGGGCTCCCAGCTCCACACCAGGTTCGGGGAGGCACCTAAGGGTGCTGGGCCATGGGCTGGATCAGGCCACTGCTTCAGTTACAGAGGGCTGCCAGCTGCTCTGTGCCAGGGCAGCAGCTCCAGTTTCCCTTTGCAGTAGGTGACTCGACAAGAAACCCTTGCCAAGATGAGAAACGGGGAAAAAAGCAGACCCCCCAAGGCACTCGGAGCTGCTGGGGACAAGGGGTCCCCTAAAATCCCCTCCCTCCCAAGGCAGGAATCGCACTGACCCTGAGACTTGAAGGGATGAGGCTCCACATAGCAGGGGTATCCCCACAATCAGCACCCCCCAAAAGAGAGGGAACCTGTCCCAAAAGGTGCACAGGTTTAGGGAGACCTCCAGCATCGGCCCACCCAGCCCTTACACCTCTAACAGGGTGCTCTTGCAACCACCTACCTCGAGCCTGCGAAGGGGAAGCGACCCCAAAAAGAGGGGAGAACCCTGTAACCACCCTTCCCAAGGCCTAAGAGGGGAAAAGGGGATCTCACAGATAATGAGGGTCCCCCCCCAACCTCCTTTTTCTGGGGTCTGAGGGAAGAAGAGACCCCACAGGGAATGGGTGGGCCTCCAACAACCCCCTTCCCAGAGAAGAGGGACCTAAGAGATTACAGGGAGGATGGGGGGTGTATCACCACACTATTCCCTGGGACGTAAGAGCGGGGAAAAGTAATCCCAAAGAGCAAGGGCACCCTAAGCTTTCTCCCTCAGGACTCCAGGGAGGCACCCACCCCCATTCCCCAGGCCATGAAGGGACCACACAAATGATGGGGGAACCCCACAACCTCCCTTCTCTGAGGCTGTAAGAGGGAAGGAGACTCCCACGTTTATTAAGGATCCCCCACAACTCTCCCCTTCTCGCCACTATGAGGGAAGGGGCCTCACTGGTAACGAGGTACCCCCAAAACCCCCTTCCCCGGCCTATGAGCAAGAAAGGACCCCACAGATAACAGGGGAGTGATCATAACCTCTTTCCTGGGGACTGTGAGAGGAAAAAGGGACCCCACGGATCATGAGGAGCCCCCACAACCCCTTCTCCTGGCCCCTGAAGAGGAAAGGGCCTCACAGATCATGAGGGGCTCCCACCCCAGGGCTGTGAGAGAACAGGGGGAACTCCCATTCCCGAGGCCCGCGGGGGTGGGATGAAGGACCCCCACGGAGCGGGGAGCCCTCCCGGCGGGCCGGTGAAGGGGAGCAGCAGCACTCACCGGCAGCGCTGGGCCCGGCCAGGCCGCAGGCGGCTCCGCTCCGCTCGGCCTCCACCAGGCAAAGGGAGGCGGGGAGCGACGCGCGGGGGGTTGTGGGGGCGGCGCGGACCACGCGTGC